CTTATGATCACAGATGAGATGACAGGACTCACCTTTGTAAAATTACAACTTTATGAAGTTATGTCTCCTAAGATCCACCTTTCATGCAGATGTTGGTACTGCTAGCTTTCCACCTGAGCCCTTTTTAAAATGTCAGCTCACAATTTCTGGGTTGGAGAGGCAACTTAATGAAACATTTTTCTGTACTGTGTGTGATATTTTCTTCCTCTTGTCTTTCTTTTTCTTTTTATAACAAAAGTTACTTATAAAGATAAGTCAGTGCTGCACTGACCATATATTAACAAGCCAATTCAACAGGCTATTGCCTGTTTAATAGGTATTGAACTCCTATCATTTGAGGTATTTTCCAGACCTGCTTAACCTTACTAATAAAATCCACAGGGTTTGGTTTTTCTTGTGCAGTTGGGGCTACAGTGATGCACACCCCTACCCCGGGGTGTCATGCACATGGTAGTATGTGGGAATGGTGCCCCTAAATTGTGCAGTGGTTGCTGCTGCTCTAAGTTTAGTTCCTTAGGAATCACTAATTCATTCAATGAATTTTGTCCACAACTAAATTAAATTAATGCCTCTAGTATGGTTTCTTTCTTCTGGGCAGAAATAACTAGGTTAAAGGTAAACTAACAAAATTATACCTTTTTCAAGACTCTTGAAGTCTTGGAATATGTATTTACTAATATTAGTATATTGCAGGGCTTCAAAATTTACTGTATGTAAACAACAAACAAACAAAAAGCTTGACTCAGTAATTTGCCATACTCATTGCATCTTCATGCAGTTGGATCTTCTCCAAAGAGGAGTATTACTAGGCAATTCAGACAACTTAATCATAATAGACCCCCCTGCCCTCCTGTTGCCATGATCCCTGTGACCAGGACATAGAACAATCATTTCCTGATATCTTGTAGAAAACGATATAAAGAAACAAGAAGGGAAAAAACAGGCATATAATCTCAAGAGTGTAGAAAACTTTGTTTTCTGCACACACATGTGCAATACATAATTCACAGCTGAATTACTAAAATGATACTTTACAAAGGAATTTGGAATGAACTTCAAATTCAGTGAAATCTAAGCAATGTTATAAGAATTTGTTTACTTTCAAACATCTGCTATTCCTGCAGAATAATGATCTTAAGGAAATTTTGTTATGCAATAAGTTTTGTATAGAAGAAACTACTTTATGGCATATTGTAGGTGGAGGATTTTTCTCCAGAGCTTTTTACCTTTTTGATTAAAGTAGAACTTGACATGAAATTAAGTGTGGCTATTACTGTGGTTCATGAAACCCAAATACTCATGGGGAAAATTAAGAATTTTAATAACTGGAAAAGAAGAAAGTCGTTTAAATCAGCCTTTAGTTTATCTGCTTAAATTGAACTCATTTATTAAGCAATTATCACACAATTTTGAACTTTGTTCCACTCTTATATAAAAAATCTCTTCTGGATTTCTTATTTCATTAAAAAAAAAAGTCTGCAGTGCTTCCCTTTGACAAGATGAATCCAGTATATGGATTGGAACCTGAATTATTTCACTTGATTTCTACTGAAGGAAAAGGCAATTAGTTAATTGTGGGGTTAATTTGACATAACTTTATTCCTTGAACATTTGAGAAAAGAATGCCCTTCACTGCTACTTTTTTGCTATTTCTGGATATTCTGAGCAATCCTGGTGACTCATAACCATCCCTTTTCATGGCCAGCTCTGTATAACTGAGGGAACACATCCTTCTGGGTGAGAAGTGAGCCTTGCTTAACTTGGTGTCCCTCACACATTTCCATGGAAGGACTACGACTGCTACAGCAGAATCCTAAAGCAGACAGCTGAAAGCAGCAGAAATCTGTGACGTTCTGTGTTTCATCCCCATGCTGTTTTTTTATTCGACTTCATAAGAGGCGGCTTAGTGGTTGTAAAATAATGGTTTCTCTTCCATTTCTTTCCCTTCACCTCAATAAACTGATGTTCCAGAGAGATCTTTTAGCTTTGTTTTGTGGATGTATGTGCCCTAGACAAACCACTAAATGCCCCCAGATTCTACAATTATATAGTTTGAGAAATGTGGCCTTAATGGATTCAAGCCCTCCTAATTGTACCTTTTAGGGGTTTTAGACTTTAGATTGGTTTCGGTCTATATTTGTCTAGGTAAATTTCAGATATTATTCTCTCTTAAATTACCTGAAATATGATGGGACAAATGATTCTGGAGCTTGCTTCTCTCTCAGTTCCATTCTATCTCTTTCCATTGCTTGACCACCACTTGGGCTTCCATTTGTGAACCATTCAGTTTGTCCTTAATCTTTCCAATTTGATTTTTCTGAAATGTTTCTGTAAATGCCATTAGTCCTTTTCTGTTCACTAACTTGATTGGGCTTTTTATTGTTGTGGTTAGATTTCAGCTTCTCTCCACATTTTGGCATTTCCTCTGTTGATGGTGAATCATTTTATCGGAAGTTTGGGCTAGGTTTATGCCATGGTAGCAATATCTCAGTGGCTTTCAACAACGGAGGTAAGTTTCTCACTCATGAAAATGCAGGTGGTGGCTGTGCTCTGTGGTCCCTTCACTCTGGGATCCAGATTGAAGAAACAAATTATGTATGGGGAGAGGAAAGAAATGGCAGGAGCATGTGATGGCTCTTATAGCTTCAGCTTGAAAGTAGGACATGTAACTTCCACTCATGTTTCATTGGCTAAGTCAAATCCTACAGCCAAGCCTGATGTTGCTGAGGCAGTAAGTATGATCTTTCTCCAATGACAGATCTGGTAGGGATGTGCAGCATAGATTGACAATAATAAAATCTACCAAAATTATTATATGACATTATACCAAAGCCATATTTTTTCCACTTTTTATATACTCAGAATGTGACACAATGCCCTCACATAATGGATATTTAGAAGGCGAAAGACCCACTTCTTTTGTTCCAATATACTTTTCTTGGTGGTTTTGAGGACTTCATCCTGACCTCTCTGGGTCCTCTTCATTGTCTACTTTTACTCAAGTGTTTATCATGAGCATTTTCTCTTTATTCTCCTCTTCCTCTCTCTGGAAATAGTTTTCTACTACACTTTGGTGTTTGGAACCCCACCATGATTTGCTTTATTTTCTCTAGCTGATGGAATTTGCCATCACACAAACTTCTGAGTGTTTCAACAAGAGAATAGAAAGCTTGAGTTTTGATTTAAAACCATGTTGAGACACTAGAAAGGCAGTCAATTGTTTAGTACTTTGATTTCTGCTTTGCCATTCTGAATAGAACCATTGTGTTTGAAGTTCATACGTACCAGCAAACGGACTCATCCTAAGCTTTTATCTGGTAGTAACTGGGTTTATAGAGCTACAAAAATAACCTGAGCTTGACTCAAATACAGAATACCTCACCTCAGTGTTGCATAGATTTCAAAGAAATAATGTCACTATACCTGCACAATGCAAGTGTTATACGGAAAATATCCTAATTCAGAATCCCTTTTGCCATCAAGCATAGTCTTAATTATTTCTTTTCAGTTTCTTTGTATTAATCATTATCTTTAAATGTGATGGGCATTTGTTTTTGTACTCTGACACTTTGAATAGTGGTTGCAATGCTAAATGTAATCTGCCTTGCAGTGCAATTGGTTTTTTTTTTTTTTTTTGCATATATATTTTAGCTCCCCCAGTAGATTATAATGAGGAAAGAGGGTCCCCCCACCACCACTCTTTTGGGCAAATACTAACAGTGTTTGTTAAATCGAACATAACTATTGAAATTATTGAGCTCAAGGTGGAGTCCTGTATGCTAGCCCTCTGCAATTTTGTTAAATGACTCTGCAATTAAAATGCATGCATGTTTTAAACAGATTTTCAGTTGTAAAGTCATAGAAGCTACTGTTGGTGCTCAGACATATGCCCCTAGTACCTACTTTTTCTGAGCCCACCAGATTGACTTGCCAGCATTGGCAACCCTTTGCCTGAGGGCTTCTATGGTTTCTGGAGCCCTCTCTGCCCCTATTTAGATGTATTGGGGAATTAGTATCCCCTAGGAGCATCTAGAAACATAGCTGACAGGAGATATTGGATAAATGCCTCAGCTTCCTTGCCTTTCCGTTAGGGTATCTATAGGGTGTTTCATTGACACTGTCTTCCAGAGTTCCCCAGAGGAACTGAGGTCCAGTTGCCCACAGTGGTAACTTGCTTGATAATGCTCCCTGTATCCACTGTCTTCCCTTCTTTTCCTCGCTTCTCTACTCTCCTATTGGCATTTCTTTGATTAACTCCAAATTAAACTATTTGCAGTCTCATCCTAGTTTCAGAGAGTCTCGGAGTTTCTAAAAAGGTATCCAAACCAAAACAGGCATTCATGTGTCAACATTTACAATTTAACAGTTTCTCTATTTCAGTGCAGTCCAATAAAAATATGATGCAAACTACATAGTTTAGAATTTTCTAGTGGCTACATCCTTAAAGTGAAAAGAAAGAGGTGAAATTTTAATAATGTACTTTAACTCAGTTTACCCAAAATATTATCATTTTAACATGTAATCTGTATAAAATTAATGAGGTTTTTTTTTTTTTTGGTACTCAGTCTCTAAAATCTGTTGTATAAAATATACTTACACTGTAAATGTAAAATACCATTACAGTATGTCTCAATTGCAAGTACTCACAGCCATATGTGGCTTGTGGCTACCATATTAGATAATGGTGATCACTTCCCTGCTATTATAACCCATGTATCAAAATCTAGAAATTTAATAGCTCTTGAATTAGAGGCTGTGTAATGAATTGTATTGTCTATTAGCAAAATCTTGCCTTCTCCTTTTGCTCTTTGAAGTGGAATGAAATTTCTATAAATATCTAGACTGATGGACATTATTGCCTTGTTTAGTCTGTGTCCACATATTTATGTTTTTTTCAAGAATGAGATTCTGGCAATAGTAAATTTGAGACTTAACACTTCTTAGATGTTTTCATGCAAAATATAGACTAGATGTTTAGCATCTGTGCTTGTGTTTTTTAGGCAGAGGGTACCAGACTTCAGCGAGAACTCCGAGGATATTTAGCAGCAATCAAAGGTAATGTGTATGAGTTATTTACTGCATGTTACTAAGCACAGGTTGTTCTTGGATTTCATGAGTGACAGGATTGAGTGTTAATTACAATGCCATTTGGCTTCCTGGCAAGATGGGTGCTTGAACACAGGTGTTCCATTCCACCCACCCCCAAATTCCCATTGAAATGATAATCAGAATATATAAGGAAAAAATATGTGTGCCCTTATGCTGGAAACTAGAAATAAATGCCACCTACATGCCAGAGATTTCCAGGAAAATTTCTTAGAGTGAGCTTGAGACCTTGTTTAAGAAAAGCTGCCGTTGGCTTACTTCCTGAGGGAGACCACATCCCAAGAGTGGAGCACTCACAGACTCGCACCTAAGCCCTCTCACTGGAAGGGGCAAGACATGGTGGCAGAGGCAGGTGGAAGATGATCAGCAAACATGGCCCTGGACTGGCTGTGACTTGTGTGGACTAGCAGCACTTGCAGCCCTACCGACATGCAATGCACGGGCATAGAGAGGCCCTGGCATGAGTTTCTGGGACTCAGCCATGTAAGGCAAGGAAATGAGGCCACTGGAGGAGGGGGAAGAGAGCAATAGGGAGGTGGGCTCAGCCTGTGCCTGCTATTCATCATCACGCTGCCTGCCCTGAGTCACAGCCAAGTGTGCCCATGGATATGATGTATCATAAGGCAGATTTTGTGGGGAAAGAATGGATCATCCGACAAGGAGTATTGGAAAACTGGCCAAACACTTAGAAAACAGTGAAATTCTCAACCTCACACTTTACTCCCTCCTTCCTAATTCCAGATATAGTAAAGATGTAAATATGTTGTACTGGACTCTATTAACTTCAGTAGGGATGGCACCAGGTTCAAAAGGCCGAAAAAGGGAACCAGAGTCAGCAAACAAGACACAGGATTTTATTAGTGGGAAACTTACATACAGAGTGGGCCCAGTCATGGCAGGGCTGGGCAGGAGTATCGCACCGCCAAGTGGTGGCAGGCTGGGCAGGAGAACTGCATCCATTTGCAAAAAGCAATGCAGTTTCTGTAACATTTTCGCTTAGCACCCTCTACCTAACAACCTCCACCTGGTAACCTTGGTTTAACCCAAAACACATGGCCTCAATCCCCTGTATGGCTTACCTTCCATGGGACAGGCTCAGGGCTCAGATGTTCCTTGTAGACAAGGAATGAATCTCTGGGTTGGCCACTCCCAGATTCCTTAGCTCAGAACTCTGAGCACATATTCAGGTGCATCTACCATACAGGGTGATTCTCAGGGTACGCTTAAGTTATCACGCTCAGACACAGGTGTGTCTGCCATGCATCACTATGCAAAGAAATGTGCTAAAGTACTAGAATAAAATACAGTAAATTTAGCCTCTAGGCTGTAGAGGTCTTTATAAGGGTTACTCGCAAGGCAGAAACCCATAAATCTCTCCATAGAGAGGGAGAAATTTGACCTCATAAGTATGTAGAGCTTAATATGTTTTTTAAAAACACCATTTTGGCAACATAGTTAATGAAAGTAAATCAAGATATAAAGAGCTCAGTGAGTAGACTAAATGAAGGTCAATTGGTTAAATTAAAATTGGGCAGAAAACTCTAAGGAAAAATTAGCCAAAGAAGAACTATAGATGGGTGATAAACATGAAAAAGCCTTATCCTCATGAATAATCAAAGAATATTAAGTAGCATCGAAAAGAAGATTTTATCATTTTTCCTCCAAATGTTCAAAGACATTACAAATAAAATACTGCTGTATTTAGTACTGGTAAAGCTCTGGGAAGTGGACTCCATTCATGTATTGCCAGGAGGATAGCTTTTCTGGAGACCATTTAGTAAAAACTTTTATTGATTGATTTATTTATTTGGTATGCTTTTTGACATACCAGTTTCATTCTAAGAATTTATTCTCACAGTTTTAATGTGGATGTGTAAAACTGAATACAAACATGTTATTAAAATAATGAAATAATAAAAATATAATAATAAAATGGCCAAAATAATAAAAATTAGCAAAACTGATTTTTAAACTAAAATATATTTATGAATTTTATAGTCCAGGCATAGCATTTTAATTCTATAAGGCAGGTAGTTTTATTATCTTCATTTTATAGATAAGAAAAGTGAGTTCCTGCCAGGCACAGTGGCTCACACCACCTTTAATCTGAGCATTTTGGGAGGCCAAGACGAGTGGCTCACTTTAGGCCAGGAGTTCAAGACCAGCCTGGGCAACATGGCAAAACACCATCTCTACTGAAAATACAAAAATTAGTCAGGTGTGGTGGCGCATGCCTGTAGTCCCAGCTACTCAGGAGGCTGAGGCAGGAGAATTGCTTGAACCAGGGTGAAGGTTGCAGTGAGTGGAGATCATGCCACTGCACTCCAGCCTGGGTGACAGAGTGAGACCCTGTCTCAAAAAAAAAAAAAAAAAGAAAAGAAAAAGAAAAGAAAAAGTGATTTTTTAAACAGAGTTTAAATAGCTCATCCAAAGTTGCATGCCAAGGAAACAACAGGGCCAGATTGCATATTTCGTTCTGTGTTTCTCCAGAGCCCTGGTTTTATCTATTGTCTTACTGCCTTTGAACTACATGACCAATGGTAAGGCATCAGTTTCACAAGTCAGAGTTCATCTATACAATGGGATAATGGCAACCTACTACTATTACTTTTTCATGAGCACTTACTATGTGCTAGAGTCTGTGCTGAGCATTTTAGGCACATTACCTGTTTCTAACTTCCCAACATAGCCATATTATCAATGTCATTAACTTGATTTTACATTTGCAAAGAAGTAAGTCTCAGAGAATTTAACTTCCACAGTTTGATGGAGCTCATCATTAATTACTCCCAAATCAACCTTAAGTATTTGTAACAGTTCAGTCAGAAAACAGAAGCCACTCTAGGTATTTCTTTTATTATTGATTTAGGATTTGAACACAGAAGTCATATATTATTTCTAGCACAGGACCTTCTCTGGGTAGTTGATTTTTTGGAAATGTGGATAAGTTTGTTGAATGAAAGAGTGAGTTCTCTTTCCCAAGTCTATTCAATTTGGTCTGTGCTGCTTATAAAGCGTGCTGCTTTATAAAGACTGGCATAATTATTTTCCTTAATGTGATCTAGAAGAATTCCCTGAGGGTAAGGATTGAGCTCCGGAGAAAAGCTGGGTAAAGCATCAAATAAGCCTTTTTGGCAGACTGCGCCTGCACTCCAGGGCTAGTGGCCATGGCTCCGTATGAAGGAGAAAGGAATTCTATCAGCTTTTCCCCACCTTGGGTTTGCTGATTGACTGTGTTAACAAGTGATGCTCCAAAAAAGAGATCTCTGTTTAAATTACTTTTTCCACAGCTGATTGGAATGAATTTTTAAACAGGCTACTACTGAGTTTCTCAGAGCCCTTAATATGCTAAAGTCAACTCCAGAAGTCCTGTGGGACAGGCAGGAATTCTGAGTTTTTTTTGACTGCAGGACCCTTCTCTCTTCTCAAAGCCTTGTGAAGAATGAGTAGTGTTCCTGAGAACACATTTTGGGTTTTGGGACCAAACTTGAAAACAAGGTATATGCCTGTGTTAGTCCGTTCTCACACTGCTAATAAAGTCATGCCCCCAGACTGGGTAATTTATAAAGAAAAAGAGGTTTAATGGACTGACAGTTCCACATGGCTGGAGAGACCTCACAATCATGGCGGAAGGCGAAGGAGGGGCAAAGGCATGTCTTGCGTGGCAGCAGGCAAGAGAGAGTATGTACAGGGGAACTCCCTTTTATCAAACCATCAGATCTCATGAGACTTACTCACTGTCACGAGAACAGCACCAGAGAAACCCGCCCACATAATCAGTTACCTCCCACCAGGTCCCTCCCACAACACATGGAGATTATTAGAATTCAAGATGGGATTTGGGTAAGCACACAGAGCCAAACCATATCAATGCCTTAAGTAGATCATAATTTACATTTTCAAAGGTTTTCATGGGCAATTTTTCTTGTTTTCACAAGGACAACTCTGGCTAACTAACCCTGCTGTAATGCAGGTAGCATCAGGGCAGCATAGGAGAAAGTGATATCTAGCCCTGGAGAGTCATAGGTCTTGTGGCAATTGTGGGAAAATCATTAAGTCTCTTAGTTGCTTTGGGTTCCTTATCTATTAAGTGCTTCATTTCTCTCAGAAGCCCCCAAAGACCCCAAAACTGGGATTCTGTGAAGTTGGGTTAAATGAATTCTAATCATTTTATTATGACTGATTTCTGGATGGCTTCTCCTCTGTGGGTCTTTATGATTTCTGCTGATGCTTAGGCTTCGTGAGGCAGATCTTATGCTTGCATTCATTTTAGCAGCAAACACGTCTGGAGCACCATTTGTGCACCTGACACTGTTCTAGGACAGGGAGATGCAGAGATGAACAAGACATAGTGCCTGCATGCAAGGAGCGCACAGCAGAGTGGGGAGACAGTTAAATAAAAAAGGCCAGATGGCCATAGTAATATGTATTTTAATAGATAACATGCATTGAGTGCCATCATAACAGAGGACAGACTCCCACCTTAGGAGAGGCAAGAGACTGGGGCAGGAATGGTTCTTCCAAGCAGCTTACATTTGAATGAACCCAAGAAGTGGGGTCATAGGTGGCCATCAAATGGTTAGGTTTTCTAGAGAAAGATAGATTTCAGAGGGACATTGCAGGTGGAAGAAACAACCGGACCAGGAAGCAGAAGGAAGCATGGGTTCTTGAGGGAACAAACAGAGCAGTTAGATGCAAGCAGAAAATTGAGCTGGATGAAACAGCTCAATTTTATTCTATCAATAGACAGGAGAGTCATTGTTAGAGTTATTGTAGGCAAGGGAAAAAGTTCCATGATCAGATTAGCATTTTAGAAAAATAGTTATTGTGATTGTGTGGAATTCAGGCTAGAAGAAGTGCAACTGCATGGAGATTTAGTAGAAGTGTAGTCCAATACTTCAATAATACTATTAGCTAACACTTATTGAGCACTTATGTGCTAGGCACTGAAATAAGCATTTGACATGCCTCAGTTTATGTAATTTTCCCTATAACCTTGTGGCAGGTATATTTATTGGTATTTTACACTTTGGAAAACTGGGATTATAGGTGATTAATAATTTGCCTAAAATCACACAAATCACATGTAATGGAACCAAATTTTTAACAAAGGCTGATTAATTGCAAATAATAGTCTTAATTATTTTGTTATGTTGCCTCCAAAAATATTTTGTATTATGATAGCTGACAGTAGCTTGTGCCAGCTACTTTGCTAAATCCTGTTACGTGGATTATGTTATCTAATCTAAATCATAGGTGATGAGTACCTAATCCAGGGAAGGGCAGTGGGCAGGGAAGGAAGGGGCTGGATTTGAGAATCAGGTGGAATTGGTGACTGAGCTTTGGGAGGATGAATCTGGGATGACTTCCAGTTTTCAAACTGGAGCAACTGGGTGGCATTCATGAGAACTAAGAAAAGGAGATGAAGCAGGTTTAGACAGGAAAATTTAAAGTTTGTTTTTGACATGTGAAGTTTGAGGTATTAATAAGACATCCAAGTGGAGATGTCCAGTAGGAATTTAGAATTGGGAGTCACTAGCGTGCACGTGCAGCGGGGGCCAGACACATGGATGATGAACATGCCAGATCTTTCTCTAAATGGAGCACAGTGCAGGTGGTGTCATTAATAGTTTTTGTTTGTGTCTTATGTGTAGGCATAACTAAGGGGTAGGGTTGACTATTCTTGAGTTACTTCACCAACTGCCTATTTTGTTCCAACTCTTGGTTCCATCCTTGTTCTCCTTGAGAATCTAAGAAAAAGATGCCCACTCTTGCTTTCCTTTGAGGCAGCTGCTGTCTTTTTACACAACTCTCTTCTAAGCAATGGGACAAAGCTGCTAGATACTTGCAGTATTTTAGACGTTCTTTTAATGGTTTATCCTTGCTGCTGGTTATTTATTTTAACTGATGTTATTTTTAACTAAAACACATACTTTCAGGTTATTTTTAAGCAAGGAGTATGTATAAAGTAGTGCAATCTATGCAACAAGTCTTAAAGGATGAAAATAGAAGCTCATAAATTTGGCTGCGAATGGGAATGGACAACATTTTATGAAATGTCTTGAAGAAGGTCCAAAATTTTGAAGAGAGTGAAGTGATTCCCATCCAATAGTAAAATAATAATAATTCTTCTATATATGATGCTGGGCATTTGTCTTACAGTTTTAGAAATCACTAATCTTTTAAGAAAATTTGGATATTGTATATTATTCAACCCCAGAGGTAGCATTTAGCACCTATTCTGCTTTGATGTTGCCAAACTACTCTGAAGGGAATGTGTATTTTAGCTTTTATTTGCCCATCACACTCTGTCAGCAGAGTAATCCCTAAATCCCTAAAAGCTCTGCCAGTCTGGAGCTAGGCTTGCAGCCTCTCACCTGTGTATCCATTAAAGTGCATCCTATGGAGGAAATGTTCTCAAAACAATTTCCATGTCAAAATGGCTTCTGTCCAAATGATCCATCACCACTTATCCACCCTGTAATTAGTAGTTACTTTTGGCTGTTAATAGATATATTTACTGCAACATCGTGCTTTTAGTCTTGATGATTAAAGTCTTATATAATTTTATTTTAAGGTTATATTCATGATTTTATTTTTTATCACAAAGATTATTTGGTTGCCAAATTTCTTTTTTTTTTTTTTTTTTTTTGAGACAGAGTCTCGCTCTGCCGCCCAGGCTGGAGTGCAGTGGCGTGATCTTGGCTCACTGCAAGCTCCGCCTCCCGGGTTCATGCCATTCTCCTGCCTCAGCCTCCCGAGTAGCTGGGACTACAGGCGCCCGCCACCTCGCTCGGCTAGTTTTTTTGTATTTTTTAGTAGAGACGGGGATTCACCGTGTCAACCAGGATGGTCTCGATCTCCTGACCTCGTGATCCGCCCGTCTCGGCCTCCCAAAGTGCTGGGATTACAGGCTTGAGCCACCGCGCCCGGCCGCCAAATTTCTTTTTCTTCTCTTAAGACATTGTTAAAAAACCTATCTACACAGCTATGTCTAGTTTCCGTCAGACTTAAGACAAAGATTTAAAGAAAATGCCAGAAGTCTTTTGGCATCTGGATTATAGAAGGGGGTCCACTAGTGACTAACACTTGGTATGAATTTGAGGGATATATTTCTTGATCGAGATTTGCTTGTACTTGGGTGAAGGTGAATTTGGACACTTGGGATAATGTAGCTTCCGCCTCAGTGTTGACCATATCACGAGAGAACGCATCCCCCTTGCTTGGATTCAGAGTGCTAGGGGTTGGATTCAGGTTTTGTCTCTTGTTTGCTGTCCCTTCACCTGCACAACTGTGTTTCATCAGAGTCCCCAGAGTCTTGAGTCATACTGTTTTTTTCCTACCCCAGACTCTGCCAGGGCTTCATTTGATGGTGGTCAAGTCACTTCAGCTCATGTGGGCAGGATACCTCATTGTCAAGGGCTTCCTGGAATGTGCCCAGTGATGCTCTGAGGGAAGGGAGATGTTCTGTGTCTAAAGAGAACACAAGTGCTATGAAACTCCAAGTCACATGTGGACTTTTATACACACTTCTCAAGGATATACTTCTGTCATTTCAGACATCTTTTAGTTTGTTCTTTTCTCTCAGTTGAACCCAGAATTAGCTACCTCCAATCCAGCAAGGGTGTCGAGTTTTCAGTTTAACAAATGATTTTCATCTCAGGATTCACTGACCTTAAGTTTACAGGATGTGGTTTTTATTTCTCATGACAGTGCTCTGATTTTCCTCTCCTCTCCCTGTTTCCAGCCCCCTTTTATCCCCGCTAGTCCTCACTAGGTGGGACCTGGCCACATTGATGTCTTGGCCTCAGCTTCCTGAGTAGCTGGGATTACAGGTGTGTGCCACCATGCCTGGCTAATCTTTTTTGTATTTTTATTTCACTATTTTGGCCAGGCTGATCTCGAACTCCTGACCTCAGGCAATTCACCTGCCTCGACCTCCCAAAGTGTTGGGATTACAGGCGTTAGCAACCGTGCCTGGCCCGTCTTCACTTTTCACTCTTTAAGTTTGGAATCATCAGGCAGCAGAACTGCACGGTGCCTTCTTAGCACACTGTCTCGCCTCATGATTAAGACTGTGAAGTGGGAAGAGCAAATCAGGGGACAGGTGGACTGAGCAAGGCTCGTATCTACCTTTCCACTGTCAGGGAGAGTCTTCTGCCAGAGGCGTGTCTCCAAGTCCCCAGCTCTTCCTGGCACCTTGTTTTGCTCTCAGCCATGAACTGTCTTCGTGACTTTTCAGTACATACATTAACCTTTGTGCAGAGACTAAAAAGGACTGGGTGATACTTTATGTCACCATGTTGTGCTCAGAAGCATGTATCTTTAATGTTGTTCTTTAATGTTGCAAACCATAGTTTTGCAACATATCAAATGTATCCCTAATGAAAATTGAGACCCAAAGGCTTAGGAACCCTAAAATTTCTAAGAGTTTTGATTTAAAACTGCATTCATAGTTTTAAATAATACAGCAAGTCTTCAAACAGCATCGTTTCATTCAACATCATTTTGTTATAATAACGATGGGAAAAAAAAAAAAATCTCAGCTAGGGCCACTGTCTGTGTGGAATTTGTACACCGCGTTTTCTCTCAGTACTTTGACTTCCTCCCACGTCCCAAAGATATACAGGTGAAGTTTACTGGCGTGTCAGTGAGTGTGGGTGAGTGAGTGCGTGCTGCAGTAATATGCATCTTGTCCAGGGCTGGTTCCCATCTTGTACTCTGAGCCTCTAGGAGAGAATCTGGTCACCCATGACCCTAAACTGGAGTAAGCAAGTAAATAATTATCTTACTTGTTTTTATTAATCTTTCTTAAATGTATGTACTGCTCTCATTTATTTCAGTGTTCAATATTAGAAGTGTGTTGACCTTTAGTAGAAGTTTTGTGATGTGTCTGTGAAAAATATGTCCCGGGAACTTAACTCTTATTTATATGAATTAGCCTTGGGTAAAATGGGTTTCATTATTCTTCATATCAATTAAAGTCACACTTTGCAAGAACCTATAGATGACATTAAGTAAGGACTTACTATACTGAAAAATGACAAACATTTTTTTCTTTGCTCTTTGTAAAAATTTTAGGTCACTTAAAACTTAACCATTTAACCACTTTAACCATGTTTACCATTTTAGGCTACTTAACCACTTTTGACTGTTATGCCCTATAATCCTATTAATTTTTACTTCTAGTCCCTTCTAAAAATGCTTTATGCCTTGTATTTAAATTCATTTAGGACTAATTTTAGTTTGAGAACTCTGCGGTTGTATGGACGAGTGTTCTTAGCATCCGACACCACTTGGCAAGTGATAGCACACATAATAGGACACATTATGATTATTGTGGTTTTCAGAGTAGGATATTTGTTGATTTTTCCCGAGACCCCATATCTATCAGTATCAAGTGAATAATAGAAAATGCACAATGTGATAAGTCTTAGAAACCCTCAAAGAAAGATATGACAGCAGATACAAGCAGCAGCTGTGCCTTTATAATTTTTCCTTAAATGTTTAGCAAGTAGTCAATATTTTTCTCTCACTTAAAAAAGTGGAGGAAGGGAGAAGAGAATCCTCACCCATTTCTGTGTAACAGGAGTTGTTTCTCTCCGACACTAGGCATGCAAGAGGCCTCCATGAAGCTCACGGAGTCACTACATGAAGTCTATGAGCCGGATTGGTATGGGCGGGAAGATGTGAAAATGGTTGGCGAGGTAAGAACTGGGGTGGCTTCCATGAGGCTCCCACGAGCCTTGCTCAGTCCACCTGTCCCCTGACTTGCTCTTCACACTTCACAGTCTTAATCATGAGGTGAGACAGTGTGCTAAGAAGGCACCGTGCAGTTCTGCTGCCTGATGATTCCAAACTTACAGTGAAAAGTGAAGATGGACCAGGCGCGGTGGCTCACACCTGTAATCCCAACACTTTGAGAGGCCGAGGCGGGTGAATTGCCTGAGGTCAGGAATTTGAGATCAGCCTGGCCAAAATAGTGAAATAAAAATACAGAAAGATTAGCCGGGCATGGTGACACATGCCTGTAATCCCAGCTACTCAGGAAGCTGAGGCAGAATTGCTTGACCCCAGGAGGCAGAGGTTGCAGTGAGCCAAGATCGCACCACTGCACTCCAGCCTGGGCAACAGAGCCATCTCGAAGAAAATAAAAGTGAAGATGATCATAAAACCACTTGGGTAGAGAGCAGTATTTTAAGATTCCTTTTTGCAAAATGACAATATCATTTTTCTGTCCTCTCTACAAGCCTTAGCAGCCCATTTCTAGCAGACATGGATCACAGTGTGAATTGTGTCCCAACTTCACCCCCTCATCTCAATCCTGCTATTGACTATCCTTCCCCAAATGCAGGGACAGGAGTTCAGAAGAGGGTCCATTCCACTTTAACATCAGCTAGTCCATTCACAGATATTCACTTCATGAAGACAAGCACAAAGTCAGAATGTTAAAAGGAATTTGATTTCAGGATGGCTTTGGCCCTAGACATGTCTTAACACCTGAAATCAGGTTTCTGGCTGGGGGCTGTCTGGCTGACGGGAAGTGAGTAAGTGGGTTTCACTTTGTCGAAAGCAGAATGGACCAGAGACTGAGTATCGCTGTGTGATGTTGGACTAGTTCTTTAATCTTCTTAGGCTTTAGTTTCCTCATCTACAAAATGAGAAAAACAATTGTACCCACTAATAGGACACTTATTGCCTTTGTGTGGATGTCCTCTACCTACTCAGTGTTTGGTACATGTTATGATTACTGATGTGAGACAACTGCCAGTCACAGATTGTCTCACATCCAAGTTCTTTGTTAAAACAAAGAGCAGTTGTTCGTCATGTCCGCTACTCCAGGTGAGTTATTGCAGCTCACTTAGGTACAGACGACCTAAGTTCGATGTGGCAGCCAGAGCTCAGGGGAAGGTCTGATAGGTGATGCACTGAATGTCTGTGCGGCTTTGGAAAACAAGTGTTAACAGCAGAGTCCTAGGCTGCTCCATGACAATTCTGACATCCTGACATTAAGCTTCATAATCTTCTTATAACTGAGATACTAACAGAGACTTATTTATGAAGAAAGCGCTTGTTGGTTCTTTTACATCTTTCAAAAACTTTCAGGATGTAGGTTTGGCCAAACCAGACCGCACACATTACTTTCAGATGCAATTATTAAGTAATTGCATCTTCTCATATTTCTTCAATTAGAACACAGTATTTCAACATCATGTTGCTGAACACTTTGTAAATTTCTAATTAGTGGTATAACTGAAAATTCATCGCGAAAGAAAAGAATTTTTAAGGGAATAATAGAAATTTATGTTAATAACTTTTCAAAATACTGCATTACATTCTATGTATGGCAAAGGCCACTGTTGGCATTTGTTTTTTAGGAAATGGCTGTTATCCTACCTTGGTTCTTGCAGCTGCCAGGATTTTTGGAATCCTCAGTTGCAGATGCAAACATAGGCTCTTGTAATGATGAAGAAACTGAATACTGCGTGTTCAGAGGGTCTACTCACGTCAGCAGTTGAGCCTTTTTAAACAGTGGATTTGAATGTTTTGGTTTGCATAAAATTCTTAAATTGAGATGTGTAAAAATTAGGACTACTTTTCAAAGTGTGAAAAAGAAACAAAAGCAAATTTTAAAAGTGTGTGTGTGTTAACAAGATGAAAACTTATGTCTCACATAGAGGAATTTAAACGTCGGCAGTCCAGGCATTGCATATCGGCCCCACAAGTATGAGGGGCCCATGTTTGCCATTTTTAGTCTGGCTTCAGGGGCAAGGTACTCTCTGAGCACTGGCCATCAGCTCTTGTTTCTGCATACCAGTTAGCAAGGAGGATGAAGTCTGGAAGACAGCCCACTCCTTCCTTCTTTTTCAGGACACTTCCTGAAAGTATATCCCATTGTCTAGAACACAGCCACATGACCGCACGTGGTTGCAAAGGAGTCTGGGAAGTAGAGTCTTTATCCTAGGTGGCCAAGTGCCCAGCTAAAATGGGAGGTTCAGTTAGTAGGAAGGAAGAAAGGATAGAGATTGGGTGACAAAGAGCAGACTCTGTCAAGAGACCCGGAATGTACTAGTGAGAGAAAATTGAAGATGACATTCTTGAGTACCTGCTATTTGCCTGAAATTCTGTGAAGCACTTTACATTGCTAACTCATTTAACTGGGGAAATTGAAATTCAGGGAGGTCTAGGTCCCCGAAGTCACACAGCTGGGATTAAAAAGTCCCCTGGTGAGGCAGCCCGGTGTGATAGTCATATCATGACTTTCATATCATGGCTTTGAGTTCAAGGAGACAAATCTGAGTTGAAACCTGTGTCTGTCATTTATCAACTGCATAACTTTGGCCAAGTTATATGACATCTCTGGGCTTCAGTATCCTCTTCTGTACTGTGGAAACAAAGTCTTTTCTCATAAAACAATTGTGAGAATGCCTTAACATAGTGACAGTGGGAATACTAGTGTAATAATACTAATACCTAATATTCATTGTGTGTTTAACATAATTGATACTGCATAAATGGTAAGACCTTTCCCAATATGACTGTAACTTTTCTGTTTTCCCTGTGGAGGATTCAGAAATGATTTGTTGTTTATTTCAGTGTGGATTGTGTTCTAATTTCATGGAGTGCTTCAGAAGCAAATTGTCTTAGTGGAATTATTCTCTTAGCCCCAAAGTCCATCTATAGGGTGGGGATCTTTTGAAGTTTCTGCATTCTTTGGTAATTTAGAATCAGCAATACAATTTTAATGAGCTAGCCTGTTTTGCTAGCTAGAACCAGTGGACAAATTGCTTTAAAATTTTATTGCATTATTAAATGATTCTCATTTTTCCCTAGCATCTCATATCTGGAAAAGTATTACTTGTCTAATTTTATAGTTTCAGATACTTTTTAGGAGTTTGGTGAAAGGTATCCAATTAAAATAACTCAGCAGTGGTCTCTTTATTTCTTTTAGAAATGTGATGTGCTGTGGGAAGACTTCCATCAAAAACTTGTGGATGGGTCCTTGCTAACACTGGATACCTACCTGGGGCAATTTCCTGACATAAAGGTATTTTACTCTGTATCTATAAAGAAAAGAGTTGAATGGGGTCATTTAGTTATTGAAACATGGGCAAGAAAAAAATTATTAAAGGTCCTCAAACTGACATCAAAGATACTTGGTAACTTTTCATTTATTTAAGCATGGGATTTTTATATTGTTCCTATCAGTTTGAAAAGAAATGTCATTACAGAAATCACATTTTGCCTTTAGTGAAGTGCTTCAGCTTTTATTATTCTACAGAAGTCTTTTTAAACCTATAGATATAAAATCATAAACCAGAGCTGCCAAAAATTCCAATCTTCTTTATAATCAAAACTTTTTATTATATAGCATTTGACAAGGATTTCCATTAGAATAACCAGTGGTCACAAGGAAGGGAGAAATTCAATTGTAAATATGAGAGCAAAATCTGATCTTTCCTTGTTTACTGTCTATTTTGCATGCATTTATAGTGAACCTGTATAGTTTTTCTCTCATTGAAATTTTCAGGTAGAAGTTAAAATGTTAAGATATAAGCATTTCAAATACATTTGCATGTGGACCTAAAAATTATTAGGTCTAAAACACTGATCTTATTTGACCCTTGAATCTATTACAGAGGTAAATGGACGAGTGAAGGATTGAATATTATAGATTTGGAATAGACTCTGGAGGTAAAGTTGGCTTTTAAACTAACAGGGTTGGTACATGGTAAATGAACCTGAATAGATCAGACTAGATGTGTTAGACCTATTGACAAAATGCCACAGAAAGCAAATCCAAACAGTGGGTTTTCGATGATGTTACCGTATTAGGCAGCAAAGTGCTTTATTGAGTAGTTGGGCGAATGCAACCTCATTAACAGGTGTGAATTGGGTTTTAAAAATTCTCTGAGAAATTAAAAAATGAAATTGTTAAAAATTCTGTAAGACTGTGTGCACCAGGGAACATGTTTTGAGACATCCTCAGATAATTTTGACTAGTCACTCAATTTTCGCCTTGGGATTTGTAGTGTTTGTGGAGCAGTCTCACAATGGTACACTTAAGAGTACTGCTTATTGCATTGCAATTTATTTTCAATATTATTTTATTTTATTTATATTTTTTACTTTATGGCAGTAAGAACATTTAACATGAGATCTACCCTTTAAAAGATTTTGAACTGCACAATGCAGTATTGTTACTATTCATCTTACATAACTGAAATTTTATACCCGTTAATTAGCAACTCTCATTTTCCAGCTCTCTCTAGCCCTTGGCAACCATCATTCTATGTATTGTTTGCTTCTCTGAGGTTGTTTGTAGGTCTTTGGATAAATGTCTGTTCTAGTTCATTGCCCTTTCTTAAGTCAGCTTATTAGTTTTTTTCCTATTGAGCTCTAGGTGTTCCTTTGTATATTTTGGAAATTAACTCCTCATCAAACATGTGGTTTCAGATCTTTTCTCCCTTTCCATAGCTTGCATTTTACTCTTCATTGTTTATTTTGCTGAGCAGAAGCTTTTTACTTTGATGTAGTTCCTCTTGTCTATTTTTGTTTTTGTTGCCTGTGTTTTTGGTGTCAAGTCCAGGAAACCATTGCTAACACCAATGTCTATTCTAAAACATCTTCATTTAGAAAATGAAGCCTTTCCCCCTCAGTTTTTCTTCTAGGAGTTTTACAGTTTCAGATCTTACAGTTCAGGTCTTTAATCCATTTTAAGTTGATTTTTTGTGTATGATATAAGATAAAGGTCCAATTTAATTTTTTGTCATGTAAATATCCAGTTTTCCCAGCAACATTTATTGAGGAGACTGCCTGTTCCCAATTGTGTATTCTTGGCACCCTTTTTGAAGATCAGTTGACTGAATATTTGTGGATTTACTTGTGGGCTTTATATTCTGTTCCAGAGGTCTATATAACTGTCTTTATGCCAGGACAATGCTGTTTTAATTACTGAGGTTTGTAACAAATTTTGAAATAAGAAGTGTAATGCCTTTAGCTTTGTCTTTCTTCTTCAAAGTTGTTTTGGCTATTTGGGGTCTTTTGTGCTTCCATGTGAATTTTAGAATTAAAAAAAAAACTTTCTGTTAAAAATTCTATTAAGATTTTGATAGGGATTGCATTCAATCTGTAGATCACTTTGGGTAGTATGGGCACTTTAACAACAGAAAGTCTTTCAGTCTGTGCACCCAGGATGCCATTACATTTGTTTGTGCCTTCTTTATTTAATCAATATTTTATAGTTCTCAGTGTACAAATCATTTCACTTCCACAGTTAGGTTTATTCTTAAGTATTTATCTTGGATGCTATTGTAATTGGTATTGCTCTCCTAACTTCTTTCTCAGTTTATTACTAGTGTATAGAAAGGCAACTAATAATTTTTTAAATTATACTTTAAGTTCTGGGATACATGTGCAGAACGTGCAGGTTTGTTACATAGGTATACATGTGCCGTGGTAGTTTGCTGCACCTATCAACATGTCATCTATATCAGGTATTTCTCCTAATGCTATCCCTCCCCAGCCCCCCATCCCCCAATAGGCCCCAGTGTGTGATGTTCCACTCTGTGTCCATGTTTTCATTGTTCAGCTCCCACTTATGAGTGAGAACATGTGGTGTTTGGCTTTCTGTTCCTGTGTTAGTTTGCTGAGAATGTTGGTTTCTAGCTTCATCCATGTCCCTGCAAAGGACATGAACTCATCCTTTTATGGCTGCATGGTCTTCCATGGTGTATATGTGCCACATTTTCTTTAACCAGTTTATCATTGATGGGCATTTGGGTTGGTTCCAAGTCTTTGCTGTTGTGAATAGTACTGCAATAAACATATGTGTGCATGTGTCTTTATAGTAGAATGATTTATAATCCTTTGGGTATATACCCAGTAATTGAATTGCTGGGCCAAATGTTCTTTCTGGTTCCCGATCCTTGAGGAATTTCCACACTGTCTTCCTGAATGGTTGAACTAATTTACACTCCCACCAACAGTGTAAAAGCGTTCCTATTTCTCCACATACTCTTCAGCATCTGTTGTTTCCTGACTTTTTACTGATTGCCATTCTAACTGGCATGAGATGGTGTCTCATTGTGGTTTTGATTTGCATGTCTCTAATGACCAGTGATGATGAGCTTTTTTTCATATGTTTGTTGGCCACATAAATGTCTTCTTTTGAGAAGTGTCTGTTCATAGCCTTTGCCCCCTTTTTGATGGGGTTGTTTTTTTTTTTCTTGTAAATTTGTTTAAGTTCTTTGCAGATTCTCGATATTAGCCCTTTGTCAGATGAGTAGATTGCAAAAATTTTCTCCCATTCTGTAGGTTGCCTGTTCACTCTGATGATAGTTTCTTTTGCTGTGCTAAAGCTCTTTAGTTTAATTAGATCCCATTCATCAATTTTGGTTTTTGTTGCAATTGCTTTTGGTGTTTTAGTCATGCAGTCTTTGCCCACGCCTATGTCCTGAATGGTATTGCGTAGGTTTTCTTCTAGGGTTTTTATAGTTTTAGGTCTTACATTTAAGTCTTTAATCCATCTTGAGTTAATTTTTGTATAAGGTGTAAGGAAGGGGTCCAGTTTAAGTTTTCTGCATATAGCTAGCAAGTTTTCCCAACGCTATTTACTAAATAGGGAGTCCTTTCCTCATTGCTTGTTTTTGTCATATTTGTCCAAGATCAGATGGTTGTAGATGTGTGGCATTATTTCTGAGGCCTCTGTTCTGTTCCATTGGTCTATATATCTGTTTTGGTACCAGTACCATGCTGTTTTGGTTACAGTAGCCTTGTAGTGTAGTTTGAAGTCAGGTAGTATGATGAAAGGCAACTAATTACTTCATGTGGATTTTGTATCCGGAAACTTTTCTTATTTGTTTACTAGTTCTGGCAGTTTTTTTGTGGAGCCTTTAGGGTTTTCCATGTAGAACATCACAGTATCTGCCAACAGGTACAATTTTACTTCTTGCTTTCCAATTTGGATGAATTGTATTTCTCTTTCTTGCCTAATTTTTTTCAATTGAAAAGAAATGATGAGAGTGGGCATCCTTGTCTTGTTTTTGATGTCAGTGGAAAGCTTTCAGTTTTCTCTGTTGAATATGATGTTAACTGTAAGTTTTTCATATATGGCCTTTGATATGTTGGGGTAATTTCCCTTCATTTCTAGTTTGCTGAGCATTTTATCATGAGAGGGTAATGAATTTTATCAAATGCATTTTCTACATCTATTGAAAGGATTATGCAATTCTTATCTTTCATTATATTGATGTGGTGTATCATATTAATTGATTTTCATGTGTTAAACTATTCTTGCATCCCAGGAATGAATCCTACTTGGTCACGATGTATGATCCTTTTGATCTGCTGTTGAATTCAGTTTGCTAGTATTTTGTAGTGCTTTTTTGCATCTGTGTTAATCATGATATTGGTCTGTAGTTTTCTTTTCTTATGGTGTCTTTGTCTGACTTTGATATCAGGGCCTCAGACAATGAGTTTTGAAGTGTTCTCTTCCTTGCAATCTTTTTGGAAGAGCTTGAGAATGATTGGCATTAATTCTTTTTTAAATGTTTCATGGAATTTGCCAATGAAGCCGTCTGGTCTTGGTTTTGTTGTTGTTGGGAGGTATTTGGTTGCCTATTAAATCTCCTTACTACTTAAAGATGTGTTCAAGCCTTCCATTTATTCATGATTCAGTTTTTGTAGGTTGTATGTATCTAGTAATTTATCTGTCTCATCTATATTATTCAGTTTGCCAGTATATACTGTTCATATTAGTCTCTTAACCTTTTTATTTCTATGGCATCAGTTGTAATGTATCACCTTTCATTTCTGATTATATTTATTTGAGTCTTCTATCTTATTTAATTTAGATAAAAGTTTGTTAAATTTGTTTATCTGCTCAAAAAAACAACTTGTAGTTACCTTGACTTTTCCTATTGTTTTTCTAATCTTTATTTCACTTATTTCTACTCTAATCTTTATCTTTCCATTTCTTTTGACAATTTGGAGTTTCATTTGTTCTTTTCCTAGTTCCTTGAGATGTAGAGTTAGGTTGTTTATTTG